CGCGGTGATATGTAACATGTGTAGCGCAATTTTCGTTTTCGCACGTAGGCACGTATGTATGTGCGTTAACGTGCGGGGCGGGGGACTTAAAGAAAGCAACTAATTTGCATTTATTTTTATTTTTCTTGTATGTGACTTTAATTTTTAGAATTTTTTTTTTATTTACACTTACCCCCATTGCTAACCCTAGAGCTAACAGGCACCCTATGTAATAGCAGATAGGATGTGACAGGTCCTCTTTATGGAGACATCAGGGGTCTTTCAGACCCCTAATGTCCCCTGTGGACTCCAAAGAAGCTGAGGAAGCAGAGATCTGCTTCCCCAGCTTCATCTCCTGGCTCAAAGACCCGGAGACTGTAAGAGTGACACCGGAAGTGATGTAATACACAATACGTCACAATTTAGAGATTGGGATTTTAGAATTTGTTTTTGTTTTTCTTATACACGACCAATCTGTGACACCGAGTCATTTATATTTGGATTGGTGTCTTTGAATAGATTGTCACATCACTAAGAGGTTTGTTTGGACAAACCATGTACACTTAGTACACAGAAACACCTAATCAATACACCGGCTGGTGATTGAAAACCCTTTTCCCCCACCTGATTGTTGTATTGCACAATTATTACCGAGGTAGTGACTACCGAGATTTATAATTTTTTCACAGTAGAATCTGAACGTAGTAACTTCTTCACGTCCTATAGAGTACACATATTTTATTTTATTTATATTTGTCGAGACCGAGCGCAACTCACTTGCGATATAATAAGTTCACTCACACACATAGTTGCGGCTGGTCGAATTAATTATTTAGTTATTTAGTTTTCACACCTAGCGCAGTGATTCTTGAATTACTGTTTTATATTGGTTTGTAGTCCATAATGATGCAGCAAGCAGTGTTAATGTGATGATGTCAGTATCGCACTTTGAATGAACAAGGGGTGCTATGGTTATGCACCCTCAGGGGTGGGGCTTTGACATTCACAGACGAGTCTTAGGGTTAAGGGACAATGGGCATCATTTAACCTGGAAGACTGAGGACATCTTGAGGTGAAGATGAGGTACTGCAGGGTACCACTTAGAATGAAGGCAAATATGCTTGTCTGAGCTGTGTTTTTTTCTTTACCACCTTGGGACCTTTAAAAAAAATAACAATTTAGCCCAGAGGCTTTACACTTCTATCATTTTTTTTATATCTCTCTAGCACTCTGTTCTGTGCTAGATTTTATGTATTGCTACTATTATTATCTTCTGCGGCCATTAGTATTTTTACACTGAAGTACAATTGTCGGGATCCGCTTCAGCTGCGGCGTCTCAGTTACCGCTACAGCTTGCGGTATACTGAGCCTAGGGTGACGGAAGGACGCTAGTTTGTGTCCTACATTTACATACCAATGGCCTCTGCATTAATACTAACAGTAGCAAATTAAACTAAGCTGACACCTAAAAGCGGAACTTAATTCCACATGAGGTGAGCGGGCAATTGCCATAATGTCCATGTATGCACAACATACACTACTTCAACATTTTGACACACTTACCTGTCAGGGTCACAATCCCCTAGCGGGGACAGGTCAAGGCTCCAAATGCTGCTTTGTTTGACGATGCCACCATCTCCCTCACTGCTTCTTCCCTGGCTCTATTTTTGGCATGCAGAGAATACGCCAGGATGTACACTACAAGACAAAGGAGAGGTGAGGGTTTGTCCTAAAGATGGTGGGCATATACAAGAGAGTAATTGCCACAAAGAGTTATTTGCACTAATTTGGATGGGTTTTTTTTCTCCACTTTGTTCTGAATTACTTAGGTGTATTATTCACAAATCATAAGCACCATTAACCTTGGATAGATACAGGGCCACCATTCTTCTTCTTCTTACTTTTAGTACTTAAAAATTGCCACAAGATGGTGCTGTGATATAATTCATTCCCTTTAAAAGGGTTGATGTGGTCCAGCCAAAAGTAATAATTCTGTATCTGTATTGGTGGAACTTAACTTGGTAGAATAAGTTACAGGCAGTCCCCGGGTTACGGACAAGATAGGGTCTGTAGGTTTGTTCTTAAGTTGAATTTGTATGTAGGTTGGAACAGGTACATTTTTAAGTATAACTCCAGCGCAAACATTTTTTTTTTAGTTTTGGATAGCATAGGGAAGGGTTCCCCACCTGTAAAGTTTGTTTTGCTGTGTGTGCCCCTGTTCAGAAGATTTCACTTCACTTTCTGTCCCTGTGACAATTGGAGTTTAAAATTTTTGGGTTGTCATGGAAACAAGGATTGGTGATAAAGTTTCAGTGGAGACACCCTTTTCCCATGTTAACTCTTACAGGAGTGAATTTCCCATCCTATGGGTAGATTTCTTTTCACTTCCTGTTGTCTCAAAGACAGGAATTGAGATTAAATCTTTCTAATGAGGATACAGACAGCAATAAAAACCTCACAGTGACCCGCAAGAAGAGGCGGGGCACCCCTTGTCTGCACATCGAACAGGAGCCAACGTCCTGTAATGTACGTACAGTACTATGAACCAGACCCAAAAAGGCTGGCACTCCTCATCGGCACAAGCACAGTAACATTACAACTACCTTTGCTGTACAGTAATAGCCTCCATTTGTAAGTAGGAGTCGTATGTATGTCGGATGTTTGTAACTCGGGGACTGCCTGTAATTGCTAACTTTTGTTTATCTCTTAATGCCTCTAACCTCTTGGTGACAACCCCCCACCCCCATGCCAGAGTTACTAGCTCTGTTTCCGTTGACCTTTTATTCTTCCTTGGACTGTCCCCACTTTTTCATTCTGCAAGACATAAAACAAAAGTGAGATCCAGTGGTGTAACCAGAGTTATTGGCGCCCGGGGCAGACATTTTTTTTCCGCCCCCCCATATTATATAAACATACATCCACTGGAACTGTACCCCACACATATATATCAAGCATCTGCCTGATCCAGCCAGCCCGGATCGCCACTATGCTATTGCTGATCACCAGTGTAAGGGGTATTCTTTATTCCACCGATCATCAGTGTAAGGGGTCTTTATTATTCCACTGACTACCAGTGTAAGCAGTATTCTTCATTCCACTGATCATCATTGTAAGGAGTATTCTTCATTCCACTGATCACCAATGTATGGAGGCATGTTTCACTAACCATTATGGTAAGTGGGGTATTCTTCTTCCCACTGACCACCAATGTAAGGGCTTTTCTTTCTCCCACTAACCACCGATTTAAGGAGTATTCTTTGTCTTCTCATTGAACACTAATGTAAGGGTTTTATCCTCTTACTGACTACCAATATAAAGGGGAATTTTTTTCCTACTAACCACCAATGTTTAGGGCATTCTGCTTCCCATTGACCATGAATGTAAAGGGTATTCTTACTCCCACTCACCACCAATGTAAAGGGTATTCCTACTTCCACTTGCCACCAATGTAAGGGGATATTCCACTTTCAATTAGTAACCAATGTAAAGGGTATTCTTTCTCCCACTGAACATCAATGTAAGGGACATTCTTCTTCCCTTTGATCTCCAATGTAAGGATTTTTCCTCCCACTGATTACCAGTGTAAGGGACACTTATCTTTACACTTACCACCAATGTAAGGGGCATTCTTCTTCCCAATGACCACCAATGTAAGGGGGGTATCCTTCCTCCCAATGACCACCAATGTAAGGGGGCATACTTCCTCCCAATGACCAATGTAAGGATATTTTCCTCCCACTGACTACCAATGTAAGGGGGCATACTTCTTCCCATTGACCACCATCATAATGTTGCATTTTTCCTTCCACTGTTTACCAGTGCAAGAAGCATTCTTTTACACACACTGATCAACAAAGTAATAGGCATTCAATGTAAGGGGAAAATCTTCCTCCCACTGACCACCAACATAACAAAATAATTTCTTCCCACTGACTCCCAATGCAAGGGAACACTTCCCCACTAAACACCAATGTAAGTAGGGAACATGTCTACTAATCACCAATATAAATGGAAACACTTAAACTGGAACAGAGGCATTTACAATGACCTTCCACATAAAAGGGGAATTCACATAGACTATAAATATAATGGTAGAATGTAAATGGACCACCAATACACTGAGTCGTCAGATTATTATGACCACCCCATCAGTATTTCATTGGGCCACAAGATGACTCCACGAGATGACTTCGTTGGGCCGCTTCGTGACTCCACAAGATGTTGAAAGGTGATGCGGGGAATCTGACACTGCACTGTTGCCCTTCTGTTGTCTTGCCACTCTCCGTTCTGCCCTAACATTGACTAGTCGCTGACGGCCATATATATATATATATATATATCTACAGGGACCACTCATGCAATGGGAGCATTTTGTACTGGCCATCAATATAAAAAGGCTTGTTGTTAGTTATGCAAAATTGTATGTGCTGCATAGGTTTCAACTGAGGGGTGGGCCACCAAAAGCTGGTTGTGTGAGGGGTGTATCTGCAAAGCTTTTCTATGGGGCCCCATGATCTGTAGTTACAACCCAGGTCATTAGGACTTTGTGAGAGTTTTGACCCTATCAGGAAGTGTTGAAGCTATGTTAGATTAGAATATTAGATATCCACATGTATTGCACCTCTTGGTTCTTGCACTTTATATCTGTCCTTATAACTGAGTCACTTTAATTCATTAGCACAGGCCACAAGCACCATTCAGTATTTTCAATTGCAATAAATGTACGTATATACAGTGTGTGTATGTGTATATGTGTGTGTGTGTATCTATCTATCTATCTATCTATCTATCTATCTATCTATCTATCTATCTATCTATCTATCCACACACACACACACACACGCACACACATAAAATACAAACAAAAGGCCATATTTTTTATATTTATTTAAAACTTTATATAGCTCTGTTATTTACATATGTACAGTATGGACAGAAGGACAACAAACAATAGGGGATTTAAGACAAATCCAAAAGGCAAAGTGAAAAGTGAGCGATCTTGAATTGTAATGACTGGAAACTTAATAGTAAAATTCTTCATCCACCCAACCTGCAAAAAAGAGGAAGCAGTTAATAATCAGCAATATTTACATAACACAGTTTTGAATCCTATCACTATTCACTATATTGTTTGCTATGGATCAAGTTATAATTATTTTAATGAATATTAGAGGAGAACACTTTAGCAGTACTAACACAATTAAATCACTCCAACCCCCACTGCCCAGGCCTCTGGTCTTGCATTGAATGTAATTATGTTGGTGAGAGGGGTAGCTACAAGAACAGCTGAAGACCGTTAAGAATAGCAGCTTCGGGGGACTGGTCATTACAACCAGAACCAACAAGGATGAAGACTATTACTTTTATGAAGTACTACTGTTATACAGTATAAACAGGCAACTAGTTCCTAATCTGTCTTGATGGACCTGCGTCTTTATTCAACCTCAAATACTATGTAACTATGGTTGTTGATAACATTACATAGTTTTTGGTAGATCTCAAGAGAGATGTATTGTGTGTGGCCAGCATAAAACTGCACTTGATACTTTCTGTTTGTTGATAGCACAAGTTTTCCAGAAGATGGGTTGTTAAAATGACACATTTGTGAGTTTGAGGTATGTAGCTGTCATAAAGCAGGACTCCCAGGAGATACCATGATGGAAGCAGGAATTCCCTGACTTGTGTACTAGTTCTAAGCAATGAAACTGAACCTTTTTTACCAAGTTGTTGCCCCAATGATTTGGTGTATGTTGCCAACAAGAGCTAGAATGACTGCTGCTATCAGAACCTACACAGTAGGGTGTCTTGTTTCATAGTGAATTAGTTGCTATGTGTTAATATACACTATATTACCAAAAAGTATTGGGACACCCCTCCAAATCATTGGATTCAGGTGTTCCGTGAAATGTCCTTGCTACTAAATATTCCGCGGTCAACTGTTAGTGGTATTATAACAAAGTGGAAGCAACTGGGAACAACAGCAACTCAGCCACGAAGTGGTAGGCCACGTAAAATGACAGAGCTGGGTCAGCTCATGCTGAAGTGTACAGTGCGCAGACGTCTCCAACTGTCTGCAGAGTCAATAGCTACAGACCTCCAAACTTCATGTGGCCTTCAGATTGGCACAACAGCAGTGAGTAGAGAGCTTCATGGAATGGGTTTCCATGGCCGAGCAGCTGCATCCAAGCCTTACATCACCAAGTACAATGCAAAGCGTTGGGTGCATGTGGTAAAGCACGCCGCCATGGACTAGAGAAGTGGAAACGTGTTCTCTGGAGTGACGAATCACGCTTCTCTGTCTGGCAATCCGATGGACCTGTCTTGGTTTGGCGTTTGGCAGGAGAACGGTACTTGCCTGACTGCATTGTGCCAAGTGTAAAGTTTGGTGGAGGGGGGATTATGGTGTGGGGTTGTTATTCAGGGGTTGGGCTTGTCCACTTAGTTCCAGTGAAGGAAATTCTTAAGGCATCTGCATAGCAAAACATTTTGGACAATTTCATGCTCCCAGCTTTGTGGGAACAGTTTGGGGATGGCCCCTTCCTGTTCCAACATGACTGCACACCAGTGCAGAAAGCAAGGTCCATAAAGACATGGATGAGCGAGTTTGGGGTGGAGGAACTTGACTGGCCTGCACAGAGTCCTGACTTCAACCCGATAGAACACCTTTGGGATGAATTAGAGCAGAAACTGCGAGCCAGGCCTTCTCGTCCAACATGAGTACCTGACCTCACAAATGCGCTTCTGGATGAATGGTTAAATATTCCCATAGACACAATCCTAAACCTTGTGGACGCCTTCCCAGAAGAGTTGAAGCTGTTACAGGTGCAAAGGGTGGGCCAACTCAATATTGAGCCCATCGGACTAAGACTGGGATGCCATTAAAGTTCATGTGTGTGTAAAGGCAGGCGTCCCAATACTTTTGGTAATATAGTGTACTGTAGACATCATTACTGCTGCTTGCATGACCTTGTTAATAGGCATCAGCCCTAAACATCTGTACTAGTGATAAGGTGTAATGACTATAGTTTGGTATATTTTATGAAACTATATAACTGTTTGTGTGATACTTACTTCCAGGGTACTTCCTCATGAGCAGTTTTCTCAGTTCATCATAAACCAAGATCATGATCGTATATTGAATTCCCACAAACCAATACTGAACGCTGTAAAAGGGTAAAACATATTAAAGTCAAAACATGTACAAAGTCTAAGTCCAAGGACAGCACATGATAAGTGGAAAAGGTTTTGGTGACTACAGGCTCCGAACATGTAAAACCTTGTATAGTCTGGTACTCACCGAATAGGCATAAAATGCAGGGCATCATCCATGCCAGGGATGTAACACAGAAATGCCCCAATAGCCACTTGTGACAGTAATCCATAAAAGATGACTTTATTCCTGTGAACAAAAGAATGAGTGTAAAGATAGGGCTTGCTGGTCTGCATCCTCATTTTTATAGAAGATAAGCACAGGGAATTAATATAAGTTATTGATCAAGTAGTAACAGCTGATAAACTGGATTAAATCTGAATAAGGAGCTAGGCAGTGTAGCAGCTTAGGCCACCCATTTGCATTGTCTGCACTGGCACGGGCCCTTCCTATCATACACCAACTGCCTTTGTAAAGTGACAGCCTTGACCAATTGCACTAGCTCTTGGTTTGCAGCTGGGCCAGTGGACATCCACCTTGCACTGGCTCACTGCCTATATTGCCTTGTAGATGATACAGCTTTGGCTGGCTAATACACAATAAGAGACAGATAGACAAGAACTTTATTATTAGTATTTATATCACCCACCAAAAAAAAAAAACCTAAACTGCAAGTTTTCCTTTATTGAAATGGATTGTTTGAGGCGCAGTTGCCTATTACACACTTCAATAAATTATCTGGAGGCAGCTATGGACTTGGGAAGCAGCAGTTTGTGATTGCTCAGTGACTGAAGATGTGGAACATGCAATCTATTGGCTAATATTGTCATTCCCACTGAAGAGCACACACAGACCAGTCTCTATGCACAACTATTACCTGAAGAAGTTGCGTGTAAACAGGGTGTTTCTCCTTGTCTTTCGAATGACCGTGTTCATCATCTGGCAGACAACAATACTAATGAAGAACCCTGAGTAGCAATACCACTCCTGACACAAGCGCTGTCTGTATGTCTATGAAAAAAAGCACATTTTCATGGTGTTCATTTTTACTCTTTTATCTTTCATTGTTACAATATATGTTATTAGGCAGTGGTGTATAAATGGGGGCAGGACCGATTGCAGGGCCCTGCTCTCCAAGAGGGCCCATGGAGCCTCCTATGATATATCCAGAAATCCTCTCTATCACCATCACCTTGAATAAGTAAACTGTAAATAACTGTAAATAATAATTAGCAAACTGCTTGAATATGTCCACTGGGGAAAAACAACATTGGAAGCTCCCCAGTGGTGACAGGAAGTGTACATTGCACTCCAGTTCCTGAATACAGGGGCACAGGCCTGTTTCCACTTATCTTGCACTGGGGCCCAGGTGTGTCAAGCTGCATTTATTGAACCCACGTAGTAGCAATGGTTACATTTATCCACTAATTCCCTCCAGTGCTCTCTAGAAATGTTACATTGTATCTCTTATCACCAAGATATTTTTATTTCCTATGATCCTGAGCTCCATCTATTGGCCATAATGTGGTATTTTCCCAATTCACTACTAATATTCAATGAACACTCGACCAGAGGAGAAAATAGCCTTAAAGGAGAATTATGAGGTGAGTGAAAATTACTCATCCTCATAGTTCGAGCCGACGTGTGACAGTGAAACTGTCACACGCCGGCTCAATAGATCGGGAAGTGAGCGAACACATACGGTTGCTCGCTCACTTCTCGATCGTCTCCCTGCAGAGAGCCTTGACTGTCACTCATGGCTCCCCGCAGGGACTCCCCCCTCCCCGCTCCGATCCTTCAGTGCTGACTGGTGGAACGGACGGGGGAGGGGCGGGTACAGCTGGCTCTGCCTATCCTTTAGATAGGCAGAGCCAGCTGTCATTCAGGCAGCTGGGTGTATCTCAACAGCATTGTCGGGATCTGTCCCTGCAGTGGCGGTCTCAGTATACCACGAGCTGAAGTTCATGATATACTGAGCTTTGGGTCATGGGAGGACGCTAGTATATGTCCTCCCGTGACCCTTAAGAGAACTATGGGCAAAAACACTTACCCCATAGTTCTCTTTTAAGAAGATTGACTTACGTCCCATTTTTGAAACAGCTGTTTTATTCACACAGATCGATTGTACATGCAGTTTCTCCAGATGAATAGCTATGCAATTTTTTTTAATATGTACTCCCCTAGGTTTCCTAGGACTTAGAGAATGTGAACTTCCCAAACAAGTCTTTTAATTTAGAAAAATGTCCGTTCAACCATATGCTCATTAGTTTTTTGACTTATTTTGGTTTTTGTTGACTTTGTTTATTAACCATATTATTAAATTGTTTTGTTCCTCACCCATTCTTGTCCATAACTATCCTCTAGTTCATTGATAGTCTTGTCCTCCCAGTTGACTCGAAGATTAATAGTGTTTATAGGAAGGAATCCCTGCTCAGCCATGATGGTAAAATAATTCACAAACCCGGCGTATGTTTCCATGGCAGCTGTGAGCGAAGATGAGTGAGTTATGAGTTACTGAGTTACTGAGGAAGGTTGCAGACAAAACATTCTAGTATTCTGTTTTAGGGTTTCTCTGCTCATTTTCTGTCTTTTATGAGCACCAGCAACTATCAGAATCAATATAAAGTATATCCACTGGAATAGTACTGGAAGATGCTGTCATACATATTTCTATTTTGAAGATATTTTTAGATTTGAGGGTTTTAAGGTACAAAGACACAAAGAATGTCAATAGTGGTAAAAAAAGGGTAGCAAATGCAACTGCACCTATGGGTACTGAGTGGGCTTGTTCTTGTTGCTATTTCTTTTTCTCTAATAGAACCTTTTGAAGCATCATTATATTGTTTACAAAGTGGGTCCCATTACTTGGGCTTACCTATGTGAAAATAGGAATAGGAAAGCAACTTTATGTTCACCAATCGATCTTTGTGAGGGTTTCGTGGTTTTCTTGTCATAATATCATTTTCTGCCTTTTCATAAGCCAGAGCAATTGATGGGATCTGAGGAAATTTGAGGAAAGTTGTAACATTAGAGAAAGAACACCCAATTATCACTCTCAGTATGACCACGTTAGGTTTTTTTTCCATTTACTTACAATGTCAGTGCCCAATTCAATGAAGAGAATGGTGATGGTTCCTACAGGCAACGGGCAGCTGAGAATCACATAGACGATAAAGGGGATCATCTCGGGAATGTTCTTAGTTACTGTATAGGAAATTGACTTCTTCAAGTTGTCGAATATCAGGCGTCCTGTAAGAAAAGACAAGCAATGAGTTCACGGAAGGAAGCCATTAAACCATAAGCATTAGAAATAGTTTAACAGGTTGAATTTACTGTATGGAAATTGTAACTCATTGAGAGTAGTAAGCGCTGAAGGGCTGTCATCAAATAATGAATTTCATTGGAATGAGAAAGATTTGAGCATTTTTTATTTTTTTTTCTGATTTTGATATTAATAAACCCTTATCTTACCTTCTTCTACACCAGTCACAATTGAAGCAAAGTTATCATCCAGCAAAATCATGTCTGCAGCGTGTTTGGCAGCATCTGATCCAGCAATTCCCATGGCAACACCAATATCTGCTTTCTTTAACGCTGGGGAGTCATTTACTCCATCTCCAGTAACAGCCACAATAGCTCCCTGAAAATTATAGGTTACACTATTAAGCAATGCCTTACCTACTTTCTTAAATCACTCATAAATTCCAACATAGAAACAATTGTGGCTCCGGAGCTACATGTGGTTCTCCTCTGCCTTAAAGCTCACTGTGTGTGTGTGTTTGAAGTGTATGCCAAAGCAAAATGAAAAAAACATATGCCATAGTACGTCTCCGCAATATATGGCCATCATTCTATTGTCCAACATAAGCACTAGGAGGGCTCTTTGAGATAACACAGCTCTAATATATATAGATATATCTATCTATCTATATATATATAACTTAACGTGGTCTTGATTTCACTTGTTTTTTGCTCCCCACCCATGCCATCCCCTTTTTCAGTTTTCTTTTGCTTTCTTTTCCAACTTACTAGTCTCTGACATCCTTCAACAATGAGAAGCTTCTGCTGTGGTGATGTTCTTGCAAACACAATTTCTTCGTGATGTTTTAAGATGTCATCCAACTCATCAGAAGTCATGTCAATTATTTCTCCTCCATTCACCACGGCTGCCTTGGCATCTCTGCAAGTTGCAATAATATTAGATGTATGTTGGGAAAAGTAAAATCAGGTGTTAGATTAGAAAGAGATAATAAGATGTACTCACCTTGGATTTACTCTTTCAATTGGGACTCCAAGCCTTTTTGCAATGTCATCTACTGTCTCGCTGTTAGCTGAGATAATGCCTACGCATTTGGCAATAGCTTTTGCAGTAATTGGATGGTCACCAGTCACCATGATAACCTGTTAGGAACACATGATAGTATTATGTTTTCACAGATATTTTACAAAAACACTAAAAGATTGTTATAGGTTTAATGGCTATCATGAAAGTGCTAAATGATACGAAATGTGGCAGGCTTCAAATGCTTAAAACTATTCGTGATATTCCAGATGATTTATCAATACCTTAATTCCAGAACTGCGGCACTTCATGACGGCATCAGGAACGCTGGAACGAGGTGGATCAATCATAGAGATGAGACCAACAAAGCATAGATCATTTAGTGGGAAATTTTCACTTTCTGCATCAAATGGATAACCAGGTCCATAAGCTGAAGATGGAAGTGCTAATTGGCAAAACCCTGTAGAATAAAAAGAAATGGTCTTTGAAGAACACCACATTTTTGCAGATAGGCAAACATGTAAATAGTCAACAGAAAATGTTTATAAAGTAGAACATCTCTCAAAGAAACCCATCAAACTTCCACCATAATTTAAGTTTGTGAGCTTACCAAGAACTCTTTCTCCTAGACTTCCCAGAGCTAAATATGCTTCCTGAAAATGGTCTTTCATTTCATCATCCAGTGGCCATTCCTGTCCTCCAATCATGATGGTGCTACATCTGTCCAAGATGCGCTCCGGTGCCCCTTTCATTACCAGCAAGTAGCCTTGCTCAGCAAGATCTTCTGGGGCGTGAATAGAAACCTAGGTGATTGAATAAATAATCAAACTGAACATTTGGACTAAAGACAAGTTGAAATTAAATGATGAGGACTGAAAATGGATGATGTCATAGAGAGGAGTCAAGAGAAATGAGAAGTGGTGAAAGTTTGGGAAATAATGCTAAGTAATAATGACAGATGAGATAGTGAGAGATAAAGGAATGACAAAAACTGAATAATAAAAAAATATGAGGAAGGGAGCTTAAAAAGTAGAATTTTTATATTGGCTTAACCACGTACCTGGTACTTATTGCTGGAGTTGAATGGAATCTCCAACGCTTTTTTATTTCTTTTTCTAATTTCTAACACGTCCCCAAAGATCTGCTCCGTAAATTTCAACAAAGCTGCTTCTGAGGCATCACCATTGACTGTTTTCTAAATAGGAAAAGTAGAAAGTAAATCTGCATTCTTTACACTAAGGGGTTGATTTACTAACCTTATAAACACGCCACGAACAAGTATACACCTCTGTAGTGTGTTCCCTTCCAGCATGATCTATTGGTGGAATCTAGACACCTTTGTAGTGTGTACACACGCAGCAGGTGTGTTGTGCAAAGCCCTGCATGAATTGCAAGGTGATGTTGTGTAAATTAGCTCTATGTTGTGTTGCTTGCGTTGATGAATGCAGGAATGTAAATGCATGAGCTAACCATTTTTGTCTAAACTGTGAAGCAGCATTATATATGCATCATGTGCATGATTTTTCCATATATGGCATTAGTGGAAATATGCTTTTAGAGACTTTTTGGTTGATAAATACGTTTTGCTGTGTTAAAATCACACGCACCTGGTGCGTGCGTCTGTTTAGGTTAGTAAATCACCCCCTAAGTGTCTGATGGTAGTACCATGGAAGAACAACCAGAGGTACACACTTGATAATCATAGCATGATTATTATAATAATGATAGTCACATACGATTCATGATACATTATCATATTATTGTTATTATTATTATTATTATTAAGCAGAAATGTGTATGTGCTATATTTGAACATGTTCCATGTATATTGCTTATTGTACTTACTTTGCTGATGGGAACGTCCTCTTGATTTGCACAGAATTCTGCCCTGTTGCACAGGGTGGCGATTCTACCTAATGCTTGCCAGGTAGGTGAGCTCTGATCAAACATTTCTCCTAGAGAAATAAATAGTTAAGAACAATTACACATTGCTCATTTTCATGTTTATCTAAACACGTATTGCGGATATAGTATGTAAAAGTAATAAAAGTAGAAATTGTGAGGAGCCTTACCAGTGCCATCCTCACTGGTGTCCGCATTGTGAATAATTTTATCAAACCACATATGCGCCACAGTCATGCGGTTCTGTGTCAGGGTGCCAGTCTTGTCAGAGCAGATGACCGAGGTAGATCCAAGTGTTTCTACAGCCTCCAGGTTCTTAACTAAACAATTTTTCCTTGCCATACGTTTTGCAGTAAGTGACAAGCAGACCTAGGAAGAAGGGCATTAATGGTTATCACAAAAATTCTAAAATCTGAATCAAGTAAGTGTTTGGATTAATAAGAATCAGTACCCATACTTACAGTGACAGTAGCCAGTAGACCTTCAGGCACATAGGCCACCACAATACCAATGCAGAATATAACGGCATTGAGAGCACTGTATCCCATAGAGATGGAAATTATAAAGAAAATTACTCCAACACCCACTGCAAGACCACTGATTAGATGGACAAAGTGCTCAATCTCCAGAGCTATGGGTGTCTTCTGATCTCCAACTTGTGAGGCCAGAGAAGCAATACGTCCAATCACTGTATGGTCACCTGTGTTTATGACGATTCCAGATGCCGTCCCTGTAGGTGAGAAACAATTTCTTAGAGCATGTTTTGTTACATAGTTTGAACACTCAAATGCTACCTTTAAGTGCTGACATTTAGCTAATGTGTGTTTTTATCCCGAATGCCAGGTTTGTATAGAAGCCTAAATCTTACCTTCCAAGCACGTGGTAGAGTAAAACCCAAGGTTCTTGGTTTCTAGTGGATTCTCATCTGTGCAATCTACACCTCGAGGTTGTGCTTCTGACTCACCAGTCAGTGATGAGTTGTCAACCTGTGTATCGAGAATAATAAATTATTTTGGTCATTAATGGTTGTTTCTGATTTATACATGCTTCATCTTGAGAACTAAGAAGCCATAGATCTTCCCACCATTCTGCAAATGTCCCTGCTTCTCACCTTGCAACCGTGGCTCTCCAGTATGCGCAAGTCAGCTGGGAGTTTGTCTCCTCCTTTTACATGAACAATGTCACCTACAACAAGCTTCTCCGCTAGTAGTTCTATGCGTTTTCCATCCCGAAGAACAAGGGCTTGCTAGAATGAGAGAGTTGCAAGTTAGGAACAAAGGCTACCTCAGTGTATCAGTGGTATATTTTAGAAATCAGTTAACTAAACATGTGGCCTTCCTTACCTGAGGAACCATGTTCTTAAAGCCGGCCATAATGTTTGTACTTTTGGCTTCCTGGTAATATGCAAAGAGGGCAGTCATCACTACCACAGCAATTAGGATAAGGGCCAACCAGAGCTGGAAACAAAGCATGTTTATGATTTAGAGAAAAATAGTGGGGCATTTCTAAAACAGCAGGCATAAACAATCTTAAAATTACATTATGCTTACATTGTCTTTAGCAACATTAGGATCCTGTGCTGCTTGTAGACCATAGGCAAGGAAACACAAAGCAGATGCGATCCAGAACACAATGGAAAATCCACCTGCCATAAGCATTAGAAATTTGACAATTTCAGGGGTTCCTTTTGGAGGAGAAAGTTTGTTAGGTCCATCCCGAGCAAGAATCTCCTCTGCGGTGGCAGTGCTATGGCCCTACAAAAAAAACAGCAAACATATGTATCAAAATAAAATACTGTAACACAGACAGCAGTGCAATTAAATATTATTTCAGTTGGTCAGTATGAATTATTGCCTAGCCTCTGCAAGCCAGCAAAAAACAGGGATGTAAATTCTTACAACTCAATTGTTTATCATAATTTTTGACAATAATTTGCCAACTGTTGTAGAGCAAATACATTTAAAAGCTAATATCACAGATTTCAAAGTACTATGAAAAAAACTAATATTTTCTAATGCTAAGTTTTCTAATGCTCTAATCTACTAACTGACATATCAGTCTGGATGTCACAACACTTCTCAAAATTCAATGTTTCAAAAACTGAGCTCATAATTTTTCCTCCCTCCCATGCATCTTCCCCCAAATTTTCCCTTGAGATCGAAAAGGCAACTATCCATTCCTTCCCACATGCCAAGGTGTTAGGTGGGATCCTTGACTCCGACCTCACTTTTCTGCCCCACATCCAATCACTATCCAAATCCTGCCACCTTCACCTTCGTAACATCTCCAAAATACTCCCCTTCCTCACCAATGAAATCACAAAACTACTCACCTGCTCACTTGTTATCTCTCATCTTGACTATTGCAACTCCCTCCTCATTAGCCTAGGCCTACCTCTACACAGGCTGTCCCCCCTTCAGTATATCATGAATGCTATTGCTAGACTCATCCACCTAACCAACCGCTCAGTGTCTGCAACCCCCCTCTGCCAATCCCTCCACTGGCTTTCAATCGCCCAAAGGATAACATTCAAAATATTAAGAACCACTTACAAAGCCATCCACAACTCTGCCCCTGGCTATACCTTGTCTCATCCCCTCCGCTCTTCTAAATGCCTTCCCTCCCATCCCTCCCCCATCCTACCCTCACTGCCTTTAGTTTGCAATCTCTAAAGACTAATTTCTTCAGGGAAGCCTATCCTGCCTCAAACTAATCACTGAACTATCACGTTTTCAAACAATTCATCCCCACACAGCTACCTCCTCATGTATCACTTCCCCCTCCCTTTTTAATTTAAACCCTCACAGGCAGGGCTCTTCCCACCATCTTGTCTTGATTTGTATTGTAATTGTCATGTCTTCCTTATATTGTAAAGCACTGCACAAACTGTTGGCGCTATATAAATCCTGTATAATAATAATAATCAATTACTGCAAAAACCTACGCTCAGGATAAAAAAAAATCCAACATGTTTCTCCTTGAGGTTTACCTGGTTAATGTCCACTAAGTATTTCTTCTGCAGTTCATCTACGCTTAACGTGTGGTCCGTCTGAAACATAAATTGTAGTCAAGTTAAGATCATTGTTGTCTATTTCTCAATACTACTTTTTCAGAATAGTAAAAAAAAAATTAGGAAGATTAACTGAAGTTTTTTTTTACAATACAATACAATATAAACAATATACTTGTCCTACAAACCAACAGCCAAGAAGTTAAAGGTGACCCTTTTAAAAAGGAAATTACTGCAATATAGTCTGCTTGCAGTCAGAGAATATTCAGTTATAAGATTAGGAAATCTCGATGTTATAATGCTGAGCTTTGGCCATGTATCATGTTGTTCATCATAGGTACAATACAAAAAAACACAACAGTCCAACACGTGTAAAACATAGTTTGCCTCATCACTAAACACTTAAGCGCCATATTTTTGCTTTGAATCAAATGATTATAGATTTTATTTTAAGATGGTGTCTCTCTATTGGAATGAAGGCAAATCATCTACACTATATTCTCAAAGTCCAAACATGTGTGAGGTCAACTTGGCCGTGAGCTGAATCACAGTATATGACCAATTTACGTCTCCTGAAATTCCAACATTTCTTCATGTCTGAAATATCAGTTTCTCATTTAACTTACAATTTCAAGTTCCTTTTTCAGGCTTTCCACTTTCTTGTCATTTTTCTTGGATTTCTTTGGTTTTTTATCTTGCTCGTTTTGAGTTACTGCCTGATCTGTATCAGGGATGGAGTAGATATCTGGAGGCTTCTGCATAAGCACAGGGAAACATAGAGAAATATTATTTTACATCAATATCTAGGTATGCACTAAACTTGCTAAAAACACATCCAGAGAACTAGGGAGAGATGAAATGTATGAAGTATACTATCAAATAAAATAGTTTCCCACACGGATAGCAACTCAGTAATACATATAATGTTTATAAAACCAAATTCTATCAGAACTTTTACCAACAGGTGAGCTTTAAGTGAATCTGTTCCCAGGCCATGCACACAAACTTATTTACATATTTTGAACAAGCAGTTGATTCACTTTAAAGCAATCACCTCTGTATCTGTGAGCATTTTGGAAAAATTGATTGTAAACGTTGCCATATTCTAGCCAAGGCATATGTCCAATAAAATCCAGTTAGACTTGCCTCTTTTTCTCTATTATATGCTCAGCTCTGGCTGCATCGTTTAATTAAAGTAAGTGTCAGAACTTGTTTTACTTGTTATATTTCGACAATGCAACAATTCCGTGCATGCAAGTCATTAAAGAGAACTTGCCACCTACAATATGAATACACACATGAAAACCCACACATTGTATGTAATCATATATCATTACATGTGTGTATGTATATATATA